TTCCGAACGAAGGCTGAGATAATTTGTTGCAATCTATTAGAAAGCCGTTCTTTCTTCCATGATATCTGTCGTCGCTTTCAGTCTCATTGAAGAATGTCCTCACGACGTGGCTTTCTTTATCCGTCTGCGCGGATGGACGGAGCTAATCTTAATGCTTCTCATCTTTGTCTCGACTATCTTCTATTCTCTAGAACTGGGAATTGCCCTTGGTATTGGCCTTTCTATCTTGATCCTTATTCGCCATTCTACGCAGCCTCGGATCCAAATTTTGGGTAAGATAGCAGGCACCACTGACCGTTTTGAGAACGCTGAACTCCACCCCGAGAACGTTGAGTTGATCGAAGGCGCGCTTATTGTTAAGATCCCGGAACCGCTCACCTTTGCCAATACTGGTGAGCTCAAAAATCGTCTTCGGCGGTTGGAATTGTACGGCAGTAGTAGGGCGCATCCTTCTCTCCCCCCCACGCGCACTCCCGAGCATAACAAGAATATTATATTTGATGTTCATGGTGTCACAAGCATCGATGGTTCCGGTACACAAGTCTTATATGAGATTGTGGACGGATACGCAGACCAGGGGGTCAGCGTCTTCTTCTGCCGTGTCCCAACTCGCAATGTTTTCCGCATGTTTGAACGAAGTGGAATTGTGGAGCGATGCGGTGGGATAGCCCACTTTGTTGATGGTGTCGACGAAGCCCTCCGCCTCGCTGAATCGGAAGACCAGATTGAGATCTGAACTGTAACATGATATAAATGCCACGTTGGTTAGATGGCTGCGTTCTGCTTATATAACGCCTCACGATATAGATGATGTTTGATGACATTGCATGCATATTAGCCGGTCCGTTCTCAACTTGCTCATGTTAAGCACCGCTCTTGTATAACGGCTCATGCATGAAATCTTGTTAGTTAATGTCATAAACCAAACGATTGATAGGATTGTTATCTCTGTAGTACTGCTTGCCTCCCAATGAGTAACGTAAAAGTAGGCCATCCACATTGTGCACTTCCCAAGTTCATACCGCAGCATCATAGGCTTTCTCTCCCCAGAAATTGTACTGATCAACTTTCCTGATTCTCCCCAACAAGGCTCCTTTGAATAACAGAGAGAAGTAGCACCTCACTCGCTCGTAGAGCAAGACGCTTCTTCTCGTTGCGAGCGTCATCATCGTTCTCAGCCGAATCATCGCCAGCAGAGCCAGTTTGGATAGGCTGCGCAACCAGTTTCATCTTTCCCTCGGCGCCTAGAACGAACCCGTTACATGCGATCTTACTGATACGCACATGTTTGCTTGCCGGACTATCCCTAGCTGACGACCCAGCTAGATCCAGATTCATCGCCAGATGCTTCTCAATATAAGAAGAGAGACCCGAGAGAATAGAACCACCCGGTTGATTCGAGACCCCAGAAGCCGGCAAAAAGCTCTTGATAGACCCCCGTGGGATATTAATATTGAGGGACCTCAAAGCAGGAGTCACATTAGATGAGAATGACATTGTAATCTGTATCTCCTTCACGACATCCTCCAGAATAGCCCGCGAAGTCGCCGGTTCTCTATTGCGGCCTTGCGTCAAAGCATCCACATAAGAGGCAAGTCCAGAACACAAGAACTGCGAAGGGAGGCGAAAAATAGAACAGTAAGTGTCAAAATTCGCAGAGAGAAAAGAGATGAATATTTGTCGTAGCGGGCCGGGTAACCGCGTTAACAGTAACGGCAGGTATGTGGAAGTTTTACGGGAATGGGACCCTTCTGGTGGTGCAAGTAATACTGCTTTATAGGTGATTTTTTCATACTCTAGTACCACGAGTATTCCGCATGGGCTCTCGGGATGGGAAGCATCAGGATCTGCTAAAGAAAGGCTTGATATAGCTTCCCAGATGCAATTTATGAGAGCGCCAGTTCTGGAGAGTGTGTCTCCCTCTGTGGAGGGTGCACTTGTGCCAACTTGGAATCCGGCTAGCACGTTCCCCGTGAGTTGGTCGTGTAGGCGGTTTGCATATGTTTTTAGAGCTTCTGGGTTGTCCAGGAGAGATTGGAATTCTTTTCCATGGTGTAGAGGTGATAGACGATGTAATGTCCATGATGTATTTAGCATCTGATCCGGTGTTGAGGGTGCCATTTTGGAGTCTTAGTACTGGAGTTATACAATGTGGCTTGTATGTTTGTTCAAATTCACATGTCGAATATGAGAGCTTTTAGAAACAGTTCCCTATAGATGTTGGACCACAGCACCTCTAGCGCTTATCCTATAAATGGACGCGACTTACCGGCGCGCAAACGTGACAAACAAAGGCAATGCCAAGAAGGGATCTCCTTAGGGCTTAGGGTTTTCACTGTCATTGATCCTTCCTTAGGAAATATGACAATTCAGAGCTCAGCTAGGGTACTATCATGTTTATCATAAAAAATAGTTCAGTGATAGTTGATACTTGATAGTGGTAATCTTAATTGTGAATGTGTGAGCCATGACTGCCCCTGCGCATGCAAGAAAGCTAAGTAACTCAATCCACTGGTCCCAGTTTCAACAGCGTCAACTTCTACACAGTACTGTTCCGTTTCCATAGATATCTTCTCTGTCTTTCTAGCTCTAGCAGTGCTTAGCATGTACGTATATACATTGTATGGACTCTGTGATAGAATGGCCGTTATGAGTGCCTATAATGATGAATTTATAATCAATGTAAGCATTCAGCATTTTTAAGTCACTTACTATGCCTTCATTCATTTATCACTTAGACTTGTTTCTTAAAGCCTTCTGTGAACCACTGAGAATCTTTGTATGAGCTTGTCTATCAAATTGCTCTCATTCTCTTTCCGACTGCACTAGATAATTAATCCACTTGTGATTTCATCTTCCTAGATCGCCCTGTTTTCTGCGATGAATATCCATAGGGAACTGATTAGCGTACAGGCTTGCAAATTCCCTACTAGGGCAAGGGCGAAAGCTAATTAATCGAACAACTTCTGTGTCCAGTATCACATGATTATTGACCAACGAAGTAGTACTAGTAACACCCAAAGGTCACTTGTTCGATTACATTTGCAACACACCTCAGTATCATGATGACAAAGATCCATCAAGGTATCTATTTTAAATAACCACGGTTAGCTGAGAGCTCTTCATCCCCCGAAAATTATCTTCCTCAAGTTCTTTCTTTCCTCTTACTTGGCCTTTGTTGAGTGAGCGTATAAACAAACGCTGTGATATTCTGGGGCTGGATTCGATTGTTTGCTGTAGTACTTGCTTATTGCAAGCTCGTCTACTATGGCCGTGAGTAGATGTATCCCCCCCCTCTCTAAAAGCTTTAATTCGCCAGTTGGAATGACCCCGAGTTCTAGGATAGCTTTATTCTTTAAGCTTTGTTGAACTTCTCGTTGCGCCAAAGCAGATTCTTTCTCCTTATAAGCTTTAATAGCTGTTGATATATACTAATCAAATGTAGAAGGACAATGACACTTGCGCGAGTTGTGTCCCTTTTGTAGTTATCTGCAAAGGGATTTCGAGCTGCGGTAAGATGCTTATCTACTACTGATACCTTTATTATATGTATACTAATCAAGGCTTACCAGGATAAGGCTGTGAAATCTCATACGAAGAAGAAGGTTGGCAGAATATCTGCCTATTCTACACACGTAGAGCCTACGTGAGGCACTATAGCTCCCTTTCTGAGGGACTGACTTTCCTTATATTCGCCCAATCCTCCAAGTCGAGATTCTCTTTTGATCCTGTGCGGAGAGCCTAGCCCGTGCACATCAACTTTCCCTGGTCAAGCAACATTGTGCTGTCTATGGTGACACAACTCTTACCGCGTCTATCTTACCGTATAATAGACACAACTGTGTACAACTACAGTTTTCTCTTTTTGAAGAATGGAGAGACCAGAACTGGCTCTTTATGTTGTTGGGCCAGTGGGGCCGCTTCTTACAAACATGTGCAATGCCATTAATGCAATGTTGATTGTAGTTTAAACGAATTGAAGAAAAGGATGTCTTCCAGAAATTCTCCTCAAATGCTTGCTACTATGTAACTGGTACATAGTAGTTCAATCCAGTTATTCAGACAATATATCTATTATTAGACACTTTGTGACGAATTTGTTGATTAGATGATACAATCCTAAGAGATATGGCCATGATTTTGCAAAACGCGAGGACATTGCACCATAACTGCTGTGGCCACCCGGGCTTGCTTAAATATGCCTACAAAAGAGCCACCGAAGGTTGGCGGTGTCTTTCGAATAGTTAGAGAAGAACCAGTGGCGTCCATTTATTCGGCTTATTTGCAGTGAATACATGCAATTTCCCTTTAGCCCTATCGTTGGACAATAGCGACCAATTACAATTCATGGCATGCAATCTCCCTGTACAATGCCTATTATAACTTTCCCAAATCGATAATCTGTAGTAATCGGGACCCAAGAATAGCAATAGCGAGAGTGAGGGATTGGAGGCAGTCTTCGATTAGTTGTTTGGTATCGGCTCTCTTCCGTAATAACGTAAAGTACTATCAGCCACGTTAGCAGCGTTGCAAGTGAGATAGAGTATGGCACGACATACTTACACTGATGATAGCTATTCGTGCTCCAGTAGCGTGTTTTGAGCATTGCGGGAGTAGCAACAGCGAGAGACATAGGGCGCCAGTAGTATTCGATTAGGGTTATCTGGTATCGGCTCTTTTGAACTGTCAAGTATTATCAGCCAGGCTTAGTTGTAAGTAGAGCAGTGGGGACACAGGGCCCCGACACGGTGGGGCTTGGACCCGGACAGAGAGAGAAGCGCTTCAGGCGAGATAGAATGACACTGGCATGCTTACTCAGATGATAACAGGCAGCTATATGTATCCCAGTAGCGTTGACCATCTTATCGGGAGGGTATACTCTGGGGAAATGATTGTGTTTGTGAAAGGTACTGGACCTAGCCTCGATTAGTCGTTGACTTGAATGCAAGCTTAGAGACCAGTACCTGTGCCCCTCATACCATGACATACTTGAATCGCCCCCAGTATCTCAGGTCTGGTGAAGAATAGTATATAGGGACAAATTTACTCACATAGCGTTGCCAGTCCGTCAATTGTCCGAGATGGACAACGAATAAAGGCATTTACCGGGAAAAGTGTAAGCCCGGTAAATGGAATGGTAAGGAGCCAAAAAATTATGGATATTATGACTCTTGAAACAGAGAAGTCCAAGGTTTCAAGATAGCAAGTACTTGTAGAAGTAGACTCCTACGACTCTGGAGCGAAAAGCCCTTATACAAGCACATGGCAAGTATAATATCCTTTTCTGGAGATAAGACACCGGGATAGTTCTAATCGGGTGTGGCAGGTATCAGGGCGGGGGGTCCGAGTATTTGTCTAAGAAAGAAAGAGTGAGTAAAAGGTTGTGGAAGAACAGCTCCCTGGAGTATTGGACTACACTTACCTGATGCACGCAACCGGGGTAACGGCACCAGACCTCGCCCCTGTAGACCAGCCGATCGGCAAGCCCAGCTTCCGGATCTATCCTAGCAAAGCCCAGCGTGTTCTATTTGATGGCGAGGTACGTATGGATGCCATTGTTCGATGTGACAGCTTCTCCTTCGCGCTTAGCTGTCCGTGACTTACTATCACGGGGCGCATGAGGAGCAGAAGACTGCTGAACATGTCCGTGCCTTTGCAAGATTCCTTCTCGTGGCGGTCTCGACGATCAGCCCTAACAATCTCTTCACTGCGGTACTGGCACCTAGGCTTCCGCTTTACCCCATGATGCTTATGCATATGGTTGCAAAGTTATACAGATGTGTCAAATATCTCCACACTTCCCGCAAGTGAGGTTCCCCCCTTTAGCCGCCATCGGGTGGAGTGTTTCGATTATAAGACTCTGCTTGAAGCGCTTGCAATACGGTGCCTGTACTTTATCAATGAAGAGCTTTGTATGATAGGGTAGTACCAGTTTCCTCATCCTCATATTCCACATAGAGCCCTTTAACTGCCTCTCTCACCGGTATTCCAAAAGACCTTCGCGGATGAACCGCGAAGACTCTGTATGGTGATGCGCACACGGTCCATATAAGGCTGAAATAGGGATGTTAGCGCTACTGTATTAGTAGGCAAGCCATCCCAACCATTCAACACTAATACGGCAGGGCATCCAGTGAGAGAAAAATGCAGAAAGGTCCGCTATGGTACACCCATTAGGAGGAAAGATCCTATTGGACGATTGGCTGAATACAAGGAACGGGGCGTCTTATTCAACAGGGCCGTAAGCCTCCTCGTACTTAATACGAGTGTACTTAAGGTTGTCGGAGAGACGCCCACGGAAATCGGTCTTCCGATCACACGTAGACACATATGCAACGAAAAGAACATCTTGGGAAGAGCAAGATCTATTAAAGGATGTCAATAGTGGAAATGTTTCTCAGCTATAGATGCACTTTCAAGCGATGTTGCTCAGTCAAGAGAGGCAAGGAGAAGAGATTGTAAAGATTGTTGGACCTGACAGGGTGGGAGGAGGGGGTTCCATTTTGGGAAGTAGGTATTACCTGCCAGGTGAAAGAACATTCACTGAGACTATTATCCCGTGACCCATCTATGTGATCTGGACTAAGTTCTTTCCTGTCGTAATACTGAACTTATTCATCACTACTGCTGCTACTGTGAATATTAAAGTCTTCCTAGAACTGATGATGACTTCGTTGCTCGGTAATTTTAGTTCTGCTGATTATTCCGTATCCAGACCAATGAACTTACTTCTGGCCGTTCAAATTTTCGGTACTATCCAGAGCCAGGAAACTCAGCTTGTGACTATGCCTCGCACTATCAGGCTACTGAGGTAAGCTTCTCTATTTACCCTAATAAACTAGGCACGTTTACTAATTATTCTATAGGGATGAAGCCTGCCATGGGGAGGCTAATATACTTAGCTGGATCATGAAGACTGAACCCGGTCTCTTCATTACTCAAGATCATGCCTCGCTTCAAAAAGGATACCTCAACGGTACCGCACCTCTCTCGAAGACTTCGCCGCCTTAATCGGCAAGTACTACAAATGCGAAAAAGGGTGCACTCGTGCTGTTTCATTGCGCCAGTCTTCCGGACATCTACAGAAGTATATTTAGTACGTTTTCTGAGAATTCGGTGCCGTCTTTTCTTTCTCGAAAACTTCGCCGTTCTGGCCCACAATTTTACAAACGCGAGAGATCAGAACTGGTATTTTTCACTCCTCAAGGTCAAGCCCTCACTTCAAGGAGGGTGTTTCGATCTTCGATGGGCTTGGAAGGGCTATTGATCAAAGCTTTCCTGGAGGGTTTGCAAGGTAAAGCTTGCCATTGAAAGGTGCCTAGTCTCGTATAAAGTGGTAGTATAAAGAACGCACTCGGCATATGTAGTAAAAGGATCTACAGGCGTCAGGTATTGATGCACAGATGGCGTAGACGCCATCGACCGCAACTGCCGGTCACACCGACACGAGAAAATCCACAGTCTTAATCATAACTTCTTTATGAGTATCTTGGATATGTCATGTATATACGTGACGTCGCGATAGACACAAGCCCAGCCGCTCTTTCTCCTCTCCCTCGAACACAATTACAATCGAATATATGGCGCCATGGTGCCATACGCATGGTGCGTGACATACAGGCAGGTGGAATCATCTACAAGAAAGCTTAGTGTACACATGTACAGCATATGTGGGACACTCCAGTGGAGCCGAGATTGGAAACTCTTTTCAGATCATCATCAATCGCCTTGGAGGATGGGCACCAGACCAATTGGAGGCGATGGAGTCGATGCTGCCTTGCTGAGCTTATATATTGCTCTGGCCTCTTAGTATTATACCAGCTGCTACGGCACAACCTCTACAGTGGTTAGAGAGTCTTCCCTATGATTTGCCGAAGAGAGTTTGAAAGTCATCTATAAGACAGCTCTTTGTCGATAAGTTGCACGCATTTTACGCATGCGGGAGCAATAAACCAATGCTCTAAGAAAGTTCAATGGCTCTCCATCGGAGCTTGGAGATGCGGATGCGGGGCCGCGTTTAGAAACTCGAGCAATTAATACAGAAGAGTTAGATGACGAGTCTTTGGCATTTGAGCCTAGCCTTGAAACGACTTCTAGAGCAGCTCATCGTCATAGATGGAATCTCGAAGCTTTGATGTTGTCTGCCTAGAGCTGCAAATAGTAATTATACAAGGCATAACTCTGGTCGGTTGCATCTGCAACCGAGCCTCATGTCATCATGATATGAAGAAATGCGCAGCTCACCTATAAATTATACGACGGCTTCGGATCGGACGGTATCCTGAATGAGATACCCAAGATGTAGAGTTTATACAGGCCCTCTCAACTTCCTCACAACACACCAGACCGGGAATTCAATACCCTGCTCCGGCAGGTATAAGTATCTACTCTCTGTTCATCTACCTGGCTTATTTCTATATACTAATGGCACTATGCGATTTAGCAACCTCAACAGGCTTTATGCGGGTTATCACCAATGCCTGGAGTTGTGAGCTGTCATTTCGGTGGTTGCAAAAGCGTTGAATCAGCATAGACTCCCACTCAAACTGGTTCATTATCTAAGCTTGGGCCGGCGCCTTCCCTTCGCCATCTGGTTTGTATACAACGCCTCAATCTGCAATTCCTATCCAGATCCTGAAGAGCAATCATCACAATAAATCATCATTGGCTTCAACAATTAATCCCAATACCATATGTAAGTACCCTTACACCTCGATTGGTCTACAACAAATGGCGCCTGAGGTAGACGTGAGGACAAAAACTGAAGCTATATGGATGTACACTAGAGGCTTTCGGATGAATGGGCATTTCCGCCTCCTGGACTTGGCTCTCAATCAGGAAGTCTAGAATCATATTTTGACTTGGTACATGTGTATCTATTGTTTGTGAGTCAGATGTAAAATCGAATGCCGACACTAGGTATTTCTGTATCATGCTACATGGACGTATAAGTCTTTTCCATACTTTAGAGCAAGAGCTGAAGTGGGGAGAATTAAAATCAAGAAGCTAAAGTGCAGAGCGGTGATAATTTAGCCCGTGGGAAAGCCATATATTCAATCTCGCAGAGTCAAGCAAAAATCAAGAATCTCAAAGAGCCAAGTATCCGTCGAGAGTATGTATCGAGTAGAGGAGAAATAAGAATAGCAACGCCGTCCATGTAAGATTGAGTCCGTCCGCATCCAACGCCAATTCGTTAAAAGCATTCATTCATAAAGTTCGGTAGGCATGTTCACCAATCTAGCTGTCGACCAAATCACCAATCCTTTCCCAACAAGCTGCCGGTTGATTGGGAATCGGTCATATCAATGATGCCACTGGATTGGACACTCTGAACATCCGTCGCAGAAGGTGGTCGATCGACTTCAACTGGTTCATCATCCAGTCTTTCGGTTCGACCATCTTCGGACTTATCGACTTCCTCCCAGTCATCCTCGCTCTTATCCTCCATGTAGATCCTACTTCTCTGTCCATCGTTTGCGTTAATCTTTTGCTTTTTGCTCCCCGGCTGGCCATCCAATGTAGGGTCCACAGTCGGGGGGTCAGGAAGTTTGGCTGCGAGCAAATCTAGCGACGGTGAAGACTCACCGTCGGCGATTGATTGAGATTCGGCTTTCGGGGCACTTCCACTCGGAAGGTCTTGTTCAACCGGTGGAAAAACCGAACTAATACCGGTCAGCAATGCCATGAAGTCAAGTGAAGAGTAACGCGAGAAACACTTACGGGATCGTCTCCTCGTAGGCAACCTCATCTTTGCGTTCAAAGTTGCAAAATATAATCATTTCCAGCTTCCCAATATTGTTTGGGTTCTCCAGAAACCTTCGAGTCTCATCGAGAGCAGCTCGAGCTGCTTCTTCACTGGGGTATCCGTAAACGCCGGTGCTGATCGCCGAGAACGCGATGCTCTTCATATCATTTTCCACGGCGAGCTCGAGACTCCGTCGGTAGCAGCTCCGCAGAAGTGCCTCCGGCCGGTCATCGCCCCCGCGTAGTTCGTAACGGTAAATGGGTCCGACGGTGTGGATGACCCTCTTACATGGGAGGTTGTAGGCTGATGTTATCTTGGCATCACCGGTATCACATCCATCCAAGACTCGACATTCCTGCAGTAGGTTGGGTCCAGCAGCGCGGTGGATCGCACCGTCTACGCCTCCGCCGCCCAGAAGGGATCTGTTTGCTGCATTGACAATGCAATCTACGCCTTGCAGTTTGGTTATATCATTGCGAATAAGAGAGATGGTATCATTCAAAGGTTTTGAGGGCTGTGACAGGGGGCATGAAATCGGAACCAGACGACCCAGTTTATAAAGCAGAGAGACCGTCGGGATCTCCGTGATAGGTACGTATGGGGCCGCCATGTTGCAAATCGAATGCAGCCTCACCAACACCAAGTCGAGTAAGGCCTCGGTTGAAGACTAGGGTTGTCTCACGTGTCAGCTGGGTAGTCTGTGTAGAAATAATCAGGCCTCGTCGGCATTCGATCAGCCAGAGTGACAATCAACTCCGACCCTAATCAATAGAATACAAGCACGACAACGGTGATGCTGATCTTTGGGAGCTGTCAACGCTGGTGGTGGGGAGCTCCCCCGCACGTGAGCGCACATGATCGGTGTTATCGATAAGACCTCCGATCTAATCTTATCGACATCACGTGGTTGGTGATGCAGCCCTAGCTGCCCGCCAATAATGAACAACCCTCACAATGACTCTAGATTGACGACAGATAATGCTACAGTGATGCCAGACAAACTCGTAGTCTAGCGGGCCGGAAACAAGGTGTACAGTACTAATGTATTCTCTTTACTTAATGTTGACCGCGGGTTCCTGTTCTGGCCTAGCGCCTACGCGCGTCTTTGTTAGATAGTGTCACGTAGCTAAGGCCTCATCAGTAGAACAATCAATGATTTCAACCTCCCTGAGAGTTTATCACTTAATATTGTCGTGCATTGTAAGCCATACTTCCATAACATTCATCGAAGCCTTGTAACAAAATGGATCCTGAAGAAAACAGAAACTCTTGGTGACTAATTGAAAGGTTGCTACATATCATTGGTGGTTAGTCGAGCGGTGTGGTATTATGCTATGCAGCGGCAGAACCAGTATCAGCCTTCCGAGTCATGCCCCGACCCACGGCAGAGCTTTTCTCGGCAAAGGGAAAATATAAAACAGGCTCAAGGGACCACTTTTATACCATTTCCTGGCATTCAAAAGACAAGAGCAGATATATAGTACGTGCATATAACTCTAATATGTAAGTGGTGAGAAATAGCAAGCAAAAATTTAGAAAAACAACAAACCAACACTCTCCCTCGGTCAATATCAAGACTCTTGACATATCAAAAAGATATTTGAATGTTTAGCATGTCCTGGTTTCGATCCAGGGACCTATTTTTTTGTTAGGAATCGAATTGTGATTGGCTGGTGAAAGGACAAATCGTACCTCCGGGTTATGAGCCCGGCCTGTTTACATGTTAGTTTATTGACCAAGTTCTATTGTATCACGTGATTCAACTTACGCTCTTCCCCTGAGCTAACATGCTTTAGTTGGTGGAAGGACTTATAGGAGAAGGAATATATGAAGATTTAAATTGTGTAAATCAAAATATAGGCTTTTAGCTTGAGATTCCATCGACACGACCCAGTCGGGATTAGCCTACTTATACCAGGTTTTATGGATAGTATAGTGGTACTCATCTACCAAATGACAAGCTTAAATATCTAGAAAACTATCTCTTATCAGGAGAATTTGTGTTTAGGAGTTGTTGCTGCGTAGCCGCTGTGAAGGCATGTAACCTACAACAAAGAGGACTACGGGCCGAGGGATGTGAATGCGGGTTAGAACTATGCAAACGTAGGCAAATCAGATGTCCAACATAATCAATAACATCCTGGATGATGTGTTAGGCCTATAGGGAAGTGACAAGTCCGGAGACACCGTACCCTTCTCACTGACCCGCGAGAAATTCACGCTCATTGGAGATATATATCATTACCATACTTGAAGTAGATTACCGCAAGCAACTAATTTTCAGAACAAAAAGCAATACTGTCCGTAGACTATCAACTACCAACCCTCAAGATATCCACCTGCGAGGTACATACCCACACGCAATACCTAGCGATTCTATCGACTGCAATAAGGCCCGGGCCCCCGATTACTGGAATTTTGATAACCTGCCTTGACCCCTCGTTGAGAGAAATGACAGAGATATGTAATTCCATGATTCTCGACGTTGGCTGGTTTAGGGCTTTTGTCAACTTACCAAATTGGGGCTGGTAGACCAGGCGAGGAATACTTCAGGCAGCAGTCGTGAGTGTTTAGCATCCCAACTGCCCACGAACATACCACATCAATATTACACACCGGTCATATCCATGTTCTGGACAAGATGGTGATTATACAATGCCCCTTTATGGGTTAATGCCTCCACCCACATGTTCAACACCATTCGCGCAAAAAATGCGCAATGTCTCGCTCTGGCAACATCGCTGTACATTCGTAACGGCTCGCTAAATCTGGCTCCATCCTATGGCCCTATCGTTATTCTATGACAGCTTTTGTACAAACAACAGCTGTTTTTGCTGTGCTTTCTTGTCATATCCTGCTCTTAGACCCCTTTAATCACCACACAAAGAAATGTATCCCAAACACCTGCCCCGTCTTTCTCAAAAGCAGTGGCATTCGTCTCCGTGGCAATATTGTCAGTTTATCACGATGCACATCGGACTTGACAGCACTACCCCCAGGGATGATTAGGCCGAGCATACCATCGGCTGGTTTTTCTGGTTATGCCGCCGACGTCAAACCAGCTGTACCTCACCTCAGCCATTCTCCCGGCAAACAGACTCCAAAACGGTTCCACAAACAGAATCTGTGAAATCTATACAATTGGCGCAATCCACATGGCCCTGAAAATGGGTATTCTCTGTGACAGTACGTAGACCCAAACAAACCATCCACTTTCTGATATGATGGCTCAATATAATTCAGACCCGAGAGAATGTCGGATGTTTTGTTCCAGAGCCTCAGAGCTAATGATGCTCCCAACTTCAGTAGGAGGGAACGGATTCGATTGTTTGGTTTTCGCAACATTTCCTTCGCTTTGCTCCCTCTGAACTGCTTGGGAATTGTCCCCCCAGGCCAGACCGAACAACTCTCTACTAATAATGCCATTCCCAAGAAGAATTTCCGTCTTACCCTTCCCCGTAAAAGGACTCCCCATAAACAGCGACTAAAAGCGCTAGCTTGGTATTTAATAGCTCATTGCGCAAGCAGCGGTACTTTACCCATGCTTGGTGGATGAGCAAGAACAACATCCCGGTTGCCTATTATCCCCACAGAATAAAGCTGGGGATCACAATTACTTTTTCTTCCATGTATACCAGCAGTTGTCAAAGATCCATAGGACTGCATTTATTTCCTGTGCATATGACGGCGATTTGGAAACCTCCAGTCTTGGAGTCATTTTCGCGCTTGAATGGTGGCCCTTATGATTGCCATTGAAACCCACCTTTAGTAGGGGATACACGCATGGCGTATTCAGAAATACTAGAGGGCTGCAACTGAGCAATTTCTGCATCAATTGACTGATGTACCCCCTCGCGTGGAATCCATTGGGAGCCGTTTGTGACACTATATATCTGGTTCCTATAGGCCACGCATGACCAATGACTGGACCCTATATCGCCGGTTGAACTTTGACAAGGTTTGTACAGTTGGGCATAACGTGGAGGTGATTTAAGCTGCAATATGTGAGGCATCTGTAGAGAAACACTTGCGCTACGCAAAGGAAGAGATGGTGATTGGGGAATGTGATACTGTAACGTGGGCTGTGCTGAGCTTGATAGTGATCTATTAGATCTGGTGATAGATGCACGAGCCCCCTCCGAGATTTTCAAAGAAGTAATGAGAAGTACCTTTGTCTCCAATAAACCGGGTTCCATCATCCGATTCCCATGTCCGGCTTTCGCTCTTACTGTCTTTATGTGTGCTTTTGATTGCTATTCTCTAATCATTAAACGCCACTCGGAAACAGTGTGTATATAAAGTGCTATAGTCATTTTAGATGTGAACTTGAGTTTCCAATATCTTAATGATCTAGGTTAAAAAGAAAATGGCGGCCATGTGGCTCAAAGAGATGAGAAGTGCGAGAAAATGAACTAGGAAGAGTACAATAATCAAAAAAAGAAGTGCATCATCCGTGAATCGAACACGGGCCTCATCGATGGCAACGATGAATTCTACCACTAGACCAATGATGCTTCTTATTGAATGAAACTAAGGTTTTTAATATTGTATTCTCAAAATGCTTTCATATTGTGCTTCTACGCTCCCTAGAGAAGTCTTCCGTCTTCTTGTAAAATAAGATCAATTCATTGGAGTTACGATAATTGCACTGTTCTTCTTGATTATACTTCACACCAACCTAACCTGCGGCGCATCGGTTAAATTATGGGTGTGGTGCGATATTAATCTTCCTAGGCGACGGTCATCCCTGGTGCCCTGTTAGTGACGAGAATCCATCACGCCTGATGTAGACGCAATGTCAGCCAGACGGGTCAAGGAGCCCCTGATGGAATATCTTCACGCCAGCATCTCATGATAGCAAACTAGATGAGGCAATGTAAAGATCCACGCACTCATATATGAGAATTCATGGCTTCAGAAGATACAGGGGTGAAACACATGGCGTGCCCTTGCAGCATATATTCAAAATAACTGATCGATGTCTTGCCTATACCTGCGTAGCAAAGGTTTGGTATATCACTATTCATGGACGGTACACAGTCAATGACCTCAACAGTAACTTGTATTTAAGCGACAACGCTATAAATGGCGCCGGGGCGTTTCTCAGGTGATCACACCAAAGGCATGCCTCTTCCAGGGCATACCCGGTGATCGAGTCGCTCGCTTGCTTGATATCGTCAATGCCTGGATATGATTGGCCATGAATGCTTAGCCGACTGGTTTGGTAGGATGAAGCGAACGTCGCTACCAAGTATGCAGTCTATATCCAAGCACCCATGCTAGACACTGCCCCAAGCCTAGTGCCAACAAGGGATGACTTATCACTGGCGATTATTTTCGGATAATCGGCATTGCCACACTTCAGTAGATCGAGGCAGAGCTTGTATATTAAAAGCAGTATCACATCAGAAGGCTCCGCTACGCGGCTCTGCATTTTCCACAAAAGTGTTAGCTCTCCTAGACTACTGATAGAGGACCCTAAATAAACAGTTGAGCATAAGGTTTACACAAATATGAGGCCGACCCACTATAATTTCAAGCAAAAAGGGCCCCCAAAGCTCGGCCAAGATTGCCTGAGTTGGGGAGATTCAGCTGTTTTCCAAGTTCACCATTCCATCCCTTCGAGGTTTCGCTGTACTATGCAGCCCAAAAGCAACATTGAGGAGTGGCGACTCAGCGGGTTGTTCTTTGGATAAGAAGGGTATGGAAGTGGAAGGGCTATGGAGTAAATGTGCCATTGAGACATGCTGGAGATCGACACACCGCTTGGCATTTTGGGATTGGTGCTCCGTCAGTCTACCAGGGGCAGTGATTGGTAACACGCGAAGGATGGTGCATAGCCCCGTTGCGCCCAACAGTAGGGCAAAGAACGGTAGACTCGGCTTGGCTCTTGTTTGCCCAGTCCGAGAAATTCCCATCTAGGAGTATTGATATGGCGTATGGATTTGTATAATCATATGTATGTACTTGGGATTATATTATCCGAAAGAATTTTGACCGGGGTCTGTCTTATGCACGGAGCATATTAGGGGCGTGCATGTTGCAGCGACAGAAGATCCTGCAGCATGATGGTATTACCGCAGAAGTTTAAGTTAAGAGGATATGCTTGTAGTTGTAACTCGGAGTCGAGCCGGGGCAGTGCAAGGTCTAAGCTATTGTTTAGCATGACGTATAGTGTGGAAGTTAATGGCGGCCACTAGAAGACATCTGGAAGCATTGCTGGATAGGCCAAATGTATGTTCACGTGGAGTAAGGGCGGGCGGTGCTGTCTCTAGTATGATGTAATTTTTCAGGGATCGCATAAAATCTCCCAAGGATCATTTTCATTTGGGCTCCCTAAAAGGGTAACTCGTATTCACTAATGTAGAGTTTCAATCGGAGTCTTTTAGATCACTTTTGCGGGCCAACCTATGATACGGCGGCACCAAAAGCACCTGATCACCCAGCAACGAACGGGGCCAAGAAAATGACTCAGCCTTGGGAGAAACCTTAGGCCATCCTTCTTTACGGGTCTTTTCCAACAACCTGCGCCGCAGCCAACGAATGCGCCCAGCTCGATCAAAGCTAGGCTGAAAACGGAATGATGGCCCCACCACTGCCCGGAACCCACCCGGACCCATTCAAGAAGCGGAGAAGATGCCTTAAGGTCAACCATCGGCAACACTTAGCTCATGCATAGTGAGAAGTACTTGTTATTTAATCTCTTCATCCTCCCTTCATTTCCGGCCCTGCTAACGGTATATATTCCAACTCTTCTCTTATTCTCTGTAACCTTGTATCATCGACCACCCCGTCGGAACTTGTTTACGTCGAAATATTTGGAAAGAAATCTACTCTTCACTAACCCGCAACCTTCTCCTGTTATTTCCCCCACTCTCTGAACCATATCCAACATGTCTGCCGAAGACTCAGTAGTAAACGGCAAGGCGCCCGCTCAGCCCGGCAGCCACCAACACCACTCCGGTCTTGTTAGTGTCCAACCCGCGCGCTTGGCCGATCTGCAGCCGAGGTATGCGCAGAGGCTCGAGCACGATGCTGAGAATCCGGAGGCTCATGGGTGGTATGCAGGCCTCAGTAAGTTTCCGATTTTATTTTTTTCCCACCTTGATTTACTTCATTTGAAGTGTTTTCCGAGTAATTTCGGACTCGCGATGGCTAACCTCTAATGTAGTTCATTCACTTGGAGAATGCATTGGATTCCTCGGTGCTATCCCCTGCTGCATCTGCTGCCCGAACCCCTATAAGCCTGTAGCTCAAGGTGAAGTTGGTCTCGTGTCGAAGTTTGGACGGTTCGTGAGCCCCGTGAATGGAAGAGTGAAGAAAGATGATTGTACTAACTTAGTCTTCAGCTTCGAACGTGCAGTCGACCCTGGCCTTGTTAAAGTCAACCCCCTGAGTGAGCACTTAACCGCAGTCGATGTGAAAATCCAGATCGTCGAGGTGCCTCGTCAGGTCTGTATGACCAAGGACAATGTCACGTTGAACCTGACATCTGTCATCTATTACCAAATCATCTCGCCCCACAAAGCCGCCTTCGGTATCAGCAATGTACGACAAGCGCTTGTGGAGCGCACTCAGACCACTTTGCGCCATGTCATCGGAGCGAGAGTCCTGCAAGATGTGATTGAACGCCGTGAGGAGATTGCCCAGTCGACCTCGGAGATCATCGAAGACGTAGCTGCCGGATGGGGTGTGCAGGTCGAGTCCATGCTTATTAAGGATATTATCTTCAGCGATGATTTGCAGGATTCGCTTTCGATGGCGGCTCAGTCTAAGCGAATTGGTGAGAGTAAGGTCATTGCCGCTCGCGCCGAAGTTGAATCGGCCAAGTTGATGCGTCAGGTATGTCTTCTTGTGTACACGATAAATTGGCGAGTAATAGCTAATCTTCTCCTCTAGGCCGCTGATATTCTTTCCTCTGCTCCGGCTATGCAAATCCGGTACCTCGAGGCGATGCAAGCGATGGCCAAGACAGCAAACAGCAAAGTCATATTCTTGCCCGCCATGAATCAAAGCGTGCAGCAACAACTTGCCGCTGCTGACAATGCCGGCGAGGGACCTAGCCGCTACGGAACCGGCAATGTAGACGACGGTTTTCAGCGCGCTATGAACGCACGGGTGGTCGAGGATATTTGACGAATGAGTCCTCCCAAACCCCGAAGGATACGAGATGACTGATTTTGAACGACATACGGTAATTCCGACTGAAAACTTTCGACTGCATGTTTATAATGATGAGGCCTTTTTGCGGGCAGTTTCGTGCTTTTCTATACCACCTAATCTTTGTTTCTTTTTGTTGTTTGAATGGACTGACGATACCCATCCTCTTCCCTGTCTCTGCTTGGGTGAAGATTGAGCTTGGTTGTGTGATTAATCAGATATAGTTTGCTATTCATTGTCAATAATTGAAATGTCTCTCTTTGAGCCTGGTCATCGTCGAGTCCTTAGTGTAATTCAAGAAATAATATATTGATTTCTGGCCTCATATTTCCACATATAATGTAAACCATGGGGACGACGGAGTAGTCCAAGGCGGTGAATCCATTTCGTGGGGCGCAGTGGGCGTCGCATTGCCGCAGGTCTGGACAACAGGCTACCTCCCACTGCCCTGTACCTAGATAGCTATAGACCGTCGTCATTCCAACTTGAAGACCGACGTCCTTGAATTAGCTCATGCTATAGCACTCCTCAGGGCAATCCTGCCCCCCCCAATGCCTCCGTAAAGGTGCTCCTTATCCGAATAAATGGCTCCATCACAGAATATAGGACCAGCTCGCGCAGCTGCCCGAACACCCATCTCACGACCTTCGTTCGATATCACACCCGATTTCACCGACCCATCCTTTGACCCCGCTGAATTCCTGAATGATGTCCTCCCTCCGCTGACGCTGGCGTCACCGCAATCCTACACCCCTCGGGGCTCGACGGCCGTTTCCCTTGCCGAGTTATCGACCCAAGTGCAATCGATTCTTACACAGATAAACGCGCAGAATGTTCGACTCTCAAATAATCTGACTCAGCTGACTGATGAAATTTTACGGAGTGGCAATCGCCTCGCCTACGAAGTTGAAGTTCTGCGCGGCGAAGCAATCGGGCTGTCCGAGACCCTGACGGAAGCCTTACGAGATGATATTGCGAGGTTCGTTCCGGATACCGTAGAATCGAACCGGGAGGGCAATCCGGAATCAGAAGACGGCGGAGAAGAAACGCAGGCAGTAGATAATGGAGAGGAGACTGTCCAGGATCCCGAATTTATCACGAAGCTACGAACCCTGAACCAAGTACGAGCCCGCCTGGAAGAAGTTGTCCAGACTTTTGGAGATTCTATGGAATGGCCGCTACCGCCGTCTGAGACTTCATTGACGTCGTCTTTCATTTCCGTTTCAGCCCCAGAACCAGGCTCAGAGGCTCAGAGTCAAGAGGAGAAGGGCCAGGAGGTTGCGAAGAAGCTGCGCACCGAAGTGACGGAGCTTCTCGATAGCAATGGTGGAAGGGAAGAAGGGTTGGAAGCTGCTACAAGGCGGGTTGAGACTCTACGAGTGCTGGCGACCGTGTGGAAAGGAACCGCAGAGGAGAAGGCGCGAACTAGGTTTGTGGATAGTTTGGCGAAGATGATCGATGACCGGCGGCGGACGCTGGAGAACCAGAGTAAAATCAATTCATCTCAGCAACAGGGGAAGCCACCAGTTGGCCATCGGCGCCAGGAAAGTGAAGGGCCGGGAGGTGGTATCTTCAAAAATCTGCAGCGACTACGGGAGGAGATCTATCTTGAATGATAGGTTGCATTTTTTTTTTTCGCTGTGTATATAGTACTAGACTAGAAACGTTTCATGTCCGAGATGCGTTAAGATACATACATGCAACGGGCCAAGACCGGAGATGGGATGACGAGATATACCGATGACGCGGCCGATGGTGAGTTAAGATATGGCATAAGGCTTCATTGTTAGCTGTCATTCTTGGCAAAATGATAACTGCAACTCCTGTGGGAATCTCTATCCGGATTTATTCTATTCAAGTGAATGAATATTGCGGGCCAGACTTCAGTCAAGAGCCGTGGGGAGTCAAAAGATAATCTCCTGTCGCACGCGGAAAATGCGAAAAGGGTCCCCACCGTCTACGTAAATCACCCCCCAATCTCGTCGCAATTCATCGCTTGTTGCAACGTACGCTTTTTTAAACTTCAGGTCATACAACTTTAATAAACCCACTTCCTCTTCTTTCGTTGACAGTCTGCCATCTTGAGTTTTGGCGGCTGTAACGTCCGCTATCATTCTCTGGTTCTTTTCACCATCTTGTCGTCATTACCCCCGACTGAATACTTTTGATGCGCCGACACGATATGGCACCTGGCTGTTGTCATTGAGTTCCTATCACTCTGATCAAAGATCTTACTGCAGGAATGCTTATCTTCCGGTGATCTCCAACCACGTTCGCTGAACGCTGAAGTCAGTCTCGCACGGTCAGCAGGACTGACGTCTCCTGGACTGCCTGTCCTTGTCCAAGGACTTTGTCTCAACGTATACTTCGCGCGCGCTTAGAATGGCTACTCTGGGGGCTCCCAATGGCCCCTGGGCCGACCGATATCATTCGGCGCGATTCACGATAACGACGCACTTACAGCAGCTTTACCATTTTCGACCGAGGGCTCGACCGACGAGAACTCTGTTCCTTGCAGTTACAGCATTCCTGCTTTTCATTGTCCTTCTGTCGCGTTCTCCCACTGAGGTGAGCTATCACAGAATGAATACCTCAGGATACAGACTAACCACTGTTCCGTCTATAGCCAGCCGTCAACTACTGGTTAAAATATCCATCATATCGTTCCTCTCAAGATCGCCCCGAAGACGTGCAAATCGTTCATACGGGGAGACCTACCCTCACCAGAAATGATACGCTTCCAGGCAACCTCCAGAAGAACAACCCATCATTCCACCTCGTCATTCCTGCAAAGAGAAAATCCCCGGCCCTTTGTCGCATGTTGACTTCCGCCATGATTCTGAACTATCCGCCACCAACACTGATTAACTATGGAAAACAACTTCCCGACGGGGCTAAGGAATATGATGTTATGAAGGACCGAATCGCCGGCATATATGAATTCCTCGACAAAACGCGGCACGTACAAGACAATGACTTCGTCCTCATCGTCGATGGGGCAGATTTCTTCTTCCAATTACCTCCAGATGTGTTGATCCAACGATTCCAAAAGCTTCTGAAGGAGAACAATGCGAGGCTGCAAGAAAAGTACGGTCTTGTGATGGTGGAAAAGGCCTTTGAACAGACCCCCCCGGAGACAGTGCAAAAGTATACCCAGAGAGTCCTATTCAGCGCCAGCAAGGAGTGCTGCCCTGGCCTCTCTCGTGATGCTGGATGTGTTGCAGCACCGGAGTCCAGCCTCCCCCCAGACATTTATGGGTGGAAGACCGACCGCTACCCGGACGGTACCCTTACTCGACCGCGGTGGATCAAGCCTGGCGCAGTGATCGGCCAAGTCGCAGATCTGAAGGCAATCTATGCCGAGATACTGCGCTTCGTTGAACACAACCACAATGCGCAAGGGGACTATGTCGCTCTGACCCAATTATTCGGACGGCAAGAGTACGTACGGGAACTGGAAAGGCGCAGAACTTCTAGCCCATTCATGGAATGGATGTATGCACAGATCGGCATTTCTGAAGCCTCGAATCTTACAGGGCTGAATCCGCGTCTGGAGACCGGACACCGGTACGAGTACGGTATTGGCGTTGACTATGAATCGCGACTTTTCTTTAACATGTGGAATTCCAAGAACGACGTGGAATGGCTACAGTACAACAATGTCTCCAAGACATCCTCCGTCCAGATGAAGCATGGCGTCCCACGGGAGAGGCGCCTTCTGCTTCCCGAGGACCTTAACCCCGAGCAAGTCAGCAATCCATTTACCCAACTCAAGGTTGGCAAAGATGAACCTCTCAACCCCCCTTACAATGCTACGCTGGACACCCTCCCAAACCCCCAGCATCGCTCCTGGCACAATCTCCCCCTGCTGACCAATATTCACTCGGCCGCCGTCCCTGCCCTGGTTCACCTAGACGGAGACCCAAAGCTGCGAGATACGTGGTGGTCGAAGATGTGGTATCACCCATGGGCACGAGCTCTTCTTCGCAAGTATGTGCGCTCCCCGAGTGGGTTCGAAGCCGCGGAGTCGGCCTTACTAGGAGGCCAAGAGTGGTGGGATTTGCGGGGCGGTAGGGGCGGTATTTGGACCGAGAAAGGCGAGTGGATTGATTACAGCGAAGTCTGTGTGGGCTATGAACGGGATCTGTTCAACGATGGCTTCGGAAAGTGGAGGAAAGAGGCCGGAGACTCCGATGAGCCGGTTTATAACCAGTTTGGCCAGTTGATCAAGGGCAAAGAAGACTGATTGCACTTGTTTGCTTTGAATTATGCCCGTCGCGCTACAATCGCCAGGTGCTTGCCTGCACCCAAATTTGAAAATGAACGACCCCTCGTTGTTTCATCGAATGCGGCATCCCCATTTTCATTTTCCTGCACATATTTACAGGTCTGGCTGCTAGTGCAGCACAAGCCATTGACCATGTTCCATGGCATCTATATACATACAACAATCGGTTTCCAAATATTCTTAATCGTGCCTTACCGACACGATGGATCTTGTTTCCTCCAGAAATGGCCTATTGACATTCTTGTACGATAATTATTCCTCAAAGGTATCCAAGACATACATGAGATACCTACAACATTTACCTATCTTCCACATAAAACACAAAAAACCAATGGATATCATTTTCATAAGTCAAAAAAAAGAAAAAGTTCAAGTAAATAAACCTACATCCAACCCCCATCTAACCCATCAAAGGAGAAAGAAAAATTAAAGAAATAGAAGTAAAAAAAAAGATACCGACCTAACCGGCCCCATTCATCCCCTGCCCCCTCCCCAACGTCCCCCGAATAATATTCAAAATAGCCACCACATCCTCGTCACTGAATCGCTCCTCCCTCTCCTCAATAACAGTATCCAACAGCGCAAGCGCCCCATAATCCTCCTCCCCCATTTCGCCCTCGTCCTCCGCAGCCCCCTCCCCATTAACATCAACATCCATCCCGTCTCCATTGCCATTAACAACCTCCCCCTCCCCTTCCCCGCCTTCTCCTTCCCCTCCCCCCCCTTCTTCCTGCTCATCTTCACCCGCAGCTGCGGGCGCATCCTGCATCCCCACACCCAGATTAACAATCATCAATACCTCGCCCTTCGTTAACCCATAGGGCTGTAACTGGGTAATCAGATCGCGGAGCGCAATGTCCATAGGTGTCGGCGCATTGGATTGGATGAGCGGGAGGGCCGGGGTATCGGTTTGAGATTGTGATTGAGCTAGTTGTTGGAGTTGTTCGGGACTTTGGTGGGTGTACTTTGGGTATTTGTAGATATGGGGTGAGAGGCGGGAGACATAGTTGTGGATCTGGGTAGTAGGACTATGTTAGCTTTTCCTTTCTCTCTCTCTCCCTTCCTATTCTAGCTCTCTTTCGGGAACACTGGATTGCTGGACTGGTGTTTTGTGTGTGTTTGTAAGATTAATTTCTTGGCTCTTTTGTAGATGTGCGTGTGTGCTCGAGTAAAGTTGGATTTGGTTGGAGGAGGTAGCGGGAATATATACCTCTTTAACGACGGTATTGTGGTCTCGTAGGTCTGGACTTGGGACCCAGTGTCGGAGGTTTGGGGGTGGGTTTGGGGGTCGGCGTGGTGGGTTTGCTGTTAGGTAGGCTAGGACCTCGATGTTGGTGAGGACTGCCGATTGGGGGTCGATTACCTGGGGTTTTAATATTAGACTTGCTGTGGTGTTCTTGGGGCTAGGGATTAGAAGCATACCCTCATTGTTTATGTGTCTTTGGTGTGTTTGGGATTTCTTTCATGTAATATGTAATGTAGTGAAAATGTGAGGGGAATGGGAAAATTGAAGAGATATTGACGGCAGAATTGGGCGGTGTGGATATGTATATGATTCCGCCTTTCGGAACGTCTGCTTAGGGGTATCTGGTATGTAGATCACTGATTATAATAGCATTTTTAAACTTCAAGATCTGATTGATTTGTATATCACATGTCTACTGGGCGGGATAGGATAGCATATAGAGACAGAAAAACCCGGCCAGTAAGTTTAACAGTTGGATGCAAGATGCATGGTTTAATGCAGATCGCGGCGCTACGGCCGTTCCATGATAGTAAGCTCCAGTTCCACAACCCTGGAGATGGAAACTGGCTTATGCTCGGCACCGTGGATGAGTTTCCATCGGCCCATTGTAGTGCACAGCAATTTGCTGTTATGTCAGAGAAACGAGAGTCCAAACTCATCTTAACCATCTGTCGATGAATTTCTGGTCTTTACTTCCCCCATCTGTTTGTGGACAATTTGGCATTGCCACCATACGATTTGATTTGGCCCACTGCAGTTAAAGCTGTGTAAATACGGCACTCCAAGAGTTCATACAGGGCTCAGTAGGAGAAATTTGCAATACGTACCGCACGGCCATGACTCATGAATTACACAGGGCTAGAACATTCGAGGCTACTCTTATCCCTGTTTCGTTCAGCCCATGTGGGACACGATAGCTTAGGGTTGATTTGTTACTCAGAAGTAATCGTTAAGCTATCATCATTTCACGTGCATTTTTTTTTTTTTTTTTTTTTTTTCGCACTGAAACTCGCTGGGTGTATGATCACTGATTTGCAGCCCTGTATAGCGACTGTCTTGCTAAGAAGACCAATCTTTGGATGAAAGGCTCAGTGAGATAGAACGGAGGAAAGCAACTCGCCTCTTGGTTATCTCGATTGCGCTCACTGAATATACCTGCGGTCTCCTCTATGATCTGCAGGTCTTCCTCGGAAGTTGACGCGGGAGGAGCGGTGGTAATCAGTTGCCAAAAGAGAGAGACTACTGCAGTAAACAGAAATTGAGCGTAGATCCTGTCACAAACGAGTGCATCCAAAATTAGCTGAATATGCATGCTCAATTACAAAGGACATACCAACCAGAACGTTTCAGGTAGTATAAGATGGCGCACTCGACTGAGATAGAGTAAAGTGGACCGTGCTGACTGGTGGCAAATCTCCATACTAGATGGTAATAGGGACCAGCTCTGAGGTGATGGTATACTTCCGTTATTGCTTGCTCCATGAATTTTTGCTAGACAATAGTAGTACTCCAGATGTATGTTCACACCCCGTAGACTAAGATCGTGAAGCAAGGAGTCGGGCACGCTTCGGTCCAAGACGTCTTCCGGTTGACACGTTACCGGAAAGTTCGATTTGATGTCGCTCAGCTCCTGATCCAATTCACGTATGTATTGAATCCGCCTTGCTTCGGGCTGGGCTATGCCATGATCAGAGTACAGCAAATGTTGTATTTTGGATTTTATTAGGGCAAGACGAAGGTCTGATGGGAAGAGAAGCTCTTTCGTTGATAAAGGTTCTGGAAAGAACGACCGATCAGAGGAAGTCGATACATAAGCGGCCGGCAGATACAGGTCACAGTCAGCATCGTTGATCAAAGGAGTCTTGCATTCTCGAAGCGACATTTCTTTGTCGATGGCGTAGCACAGCCAAAACAGAGCCCGCACATGTTGGCGGTGCTGACTCTGTTCTAACGTCTCATCAGGGGGTGCCCTGTTTCGGTTTGCTCCCATATTATACAGCATCCGTGTAGCCATAGCAAGTAAGATTCCTGCCGGCCGCGGTTGACCAAGGGGAGCAATGTATAGCGCCTACAACTATTAAAGATATGCCTTGATCTAAGGACCGCCAAAGCCACTTACTAGCAAAACGAGAGCTTCAAGGCTTCGTAAGTTGGCATTGTCTATGATCAATTCGGGTAACAAAGTCAGCACTGCTTGCACGTACGCATCAGGGTCGGCATCAGCAAAAGCCATGTCGTCCCCGCGGATTCGGGTGACTAGAGCCGTTAAAGCAACCAGACAGGCATACTTGGCAGGACTGGTTGTGCTGTCGGGATTGCCAAGCGCTTTTGGATCGAGATGGAAGGGGGTATTTTCCAAGTCGACAGCTGGGAAAATGGAATAGAGTCTGTTCTTCGAAAAGTACTCTATTGAACGCTGTATCAGAGACTGCGGAGGCCATTTCGGAACGATGGTCCTCGTGGAATGTGTTGGATACTGCAGTTTGAATGATTGGGCTAGTTGATTTAAGAAATCCTCAATATTGAGAACGAAACCCGTCCGTTCGTAAACGGTGGAGGAGAAGCTTGGTGTCAGAGCAAAAGGAGCGGCGCGGGGACCGCAGAACCCCAGATGCCACCGAAAGTTCGATAGCGCTGCATCGAAGCTGTATGATTCAAGCAAATAAGTGGTGGCCGACCACGAACTAAGTAACTGGTGAGGGACCTCAAGAGGACTGCTCCCGCTTGAAAGAGCTTTGGGGGGCGTATATTGGTCCGAATTCAGGCGGTTCTCTCTCTCTGCCTTTAATGCTTCTTCCAAATGTCGTACCCTAGCTTTCGCATCGGCCAACTCTCTATGACAGGGTTAAGGGAGTTCGTTGGGAGAATGGCTGCTTGTATCTTACTCGCGGACACTTTTCCGTTGCTGCGCTGTCGGAGTGAAAGTGCAAGGCACCCCTGCAAGGGAACACGTTTCACAGGCTGGTTTCGCTCTGTCACAGCCAATCTGTTAGGCATAATGGAAAAAAGGTCAATGATTAGTGATTCTAATTTAGTACCCCACAACTTAGTTGCCGTTTTACCTACCCTCCGATGCCGACATAGATCGCAGGCAGTCCGCACTCTTCCACCACGTGAAGCGACGGCAGATCCGCTCATGAAGTTGGCTGCTAGATGGGTCTCCTGGTAGAACTGAGCAACCTGATAATTCTGGAATAAAGTAGGAACGTGAACAAAAGAATTGACTTTGCCCGTAGGAGTGGACTGGACAATCAAAGGCCTAATAGGGATGGTGGATTTTCCCCCGGGTTCTCACCGGGTCACGAAGCCTCCACATGATAAATTTGGTTTTAAAGCATAAATAAATGACCCACGCCCGAGTATCACTACTAGTAGTAGTTGTACGTACTTAGTTCTAAAGTAATAGTAACGAACCACCACAATTGAACCCCTGAAAGACTAAGTCTATTTAGTTGAATTTTATTTCAAGTGAAGCTTAGATATGAATCACCTATTTTCTATTTTCCTCTGTTTGGTTATTTTCATTTTTCATTTATGTATTTATTTCAATATCTACAGCTACTACTCTTAAGAAAAACCCATCTTATTAAGCTTTTTTACAAGTCTAAGTAACCCTTGCACATCAAACCCTGAAGACCTGATCTAAAGTAGACCACTACTTCTCAAACGTCTCAATCGCTGCCGTATCTACACCGATAGTAATGTATCCAATCATTCCCTTGCTGATATCCTCACCATCCGCTGGGACGACAGATACAACGGGATTAAATCCTCCGTCTGTACCTTCAGGGAATATAGTGTCTTGTGCGTTGGTGGTGCGATTGATTTGTGTGTGTGAGGCGTAAGGCTCCAAGCTCATAACCTTCTGCGAAAGCGCTTCATCGAAATAGAGCTGTCCGGTGCTTACAGTATTGCCGGAAACAATTGTGCCGTTTCCTTGGACACTCCAGTCAGTGTGCGCTTGAACATGTATATGAATAGCCCGTTGGACGTAGAATCCTATGGTACACAGATGCATTAGTGTTTGATGGCCGGAGATCTATTGCCTCACACTTTGCTAGGTCTCACCTGGGAATATCGTCTTAATCTCCATGACTCCATTCTCGTCAGTGGGCCACATTCCCCGCAAAAAGGTAGTATCATCCGTATGGAGATCGGTAACACCAATCTTGAAATCGGTGATGTTCAGCTCAGCCAGAAGCTTTTCAAACTCGGTATTTGGCGAAAGGTGAGTAAACGAGGAGTAAGAGCCAGTTGCATTACAATGCCAGAAGTCGAGGAGGACATTCGGTAAGGGCTCGCAGGTCGCCATGTCGAGGACTCCCACATCAAGCCACAAAGGTACACCTGCTTGATCCTCCGTCATATCCTGACGCAGAGTCTGAGAGCGCGGCCAGACGTAGGGACCCTGGGTTACCTCGGGACTGAGGACACAAGTATCGTTTTGTATGGTGTCATAGTAAGGGGCGTCCGTGGTAATCTCGAAAGTCGTGTTGTGACCGGACCCTTCCCAGCGTTTCCGCATTGCTCTCTTCGCCATGCGGCGTCGATTGAAATCCGCAGCGTGGTTGGCACATTGCTTGGCTAGCCCACTACGTCGTTGTATCTCTGCATGAGGCACGGCACGATCAGGACCAGGATGAGCAATTGCAGTTGTGGCTGCTAGAGCAGCAAAAATGAGCTTTGAAACGAACATACTTGATTTCAAATGACAGTCGACTTATGGCCAAGGGCGTGAGTGGCTTGATGAGTGTGAAGGACCGAGGGACCTTTATACTTCACGAGGAGATACACCCCTCCACTCCAACCGAGACATCGCATCTTCCATCCTCTGCGGAACTTCTCCATCACCAAGAAGCCGTACTCCGTAAATCAGGATGTCCACGGAAGCGGAGCATGCCTGGTACCGACGGCCTCCGGCTTCTTGCCAAGACCTCCATTTTTTAGATTCTCGGCGTAGGTCGGATGTGATCCTTGTTGTCATGGTTGTAGGATCTCCACCTTCCTCCCTATTGTGTAGATAACAAAATCTCGCATACAGCACACTATTTCACGGGCTGCTATGAAGCAATTGTAGCCAGAACATGTAGTCTCTGCCTATCTTCAGTCCACACAGCCATGAGCTGGGCCACAAGGTTGCGCATCCATTCAATACAAGTCTTGGAAAGTCAATTGATATCCCAAACAACCGTGGGGCTATACTGAGCCGTGAAGAAATTCCAGTTCATATCCTCATTTAGTTCACCGCGTAATCATTTCTTGGCTTCTGTGGATAAGTACATTTCTAGGAACATTCAGGATTTATACCCCGGCCAAGGGAATCGCGTAGTGGGCGAAGCTGAAGAATATCTTGGAGATGATTGGAGATGCTCCAGTGATCAGCGTGGGCTGTCGATCACGGAGAAATGGAATCCCGCTGACTCAGCGGGTAGGTCCCCGCAAAGTGGTCTGGGCACATCATCAATTCAATACTATAGCATAGCCCTAGTTGCGGTCTACACATGTAGGCCCAAAGAGCTATACAATTGTCTCTGATTGGAGTGTTTGAAGTTACGGTATTCGACAGTGAAATGGCGCAGTTTTTAGCAGAGTACTTGAAGATTTATCAGTGGGGTAGGCGATCCATATTTCTCGAGCTACAATGGCTAGACACGAAAATAGCTGCGATACAGCATAGAATAGTGTTTCCTAGCATAGTACAAAGTCGTGTATAGTGAATGATATTCTCTTCAATGCATTGTGCACGACATTAAACTTATTCTACTTTGTGTAACATTCGCACAGCCTATGAACATCTAGTTCAAATCAATATATGCTTTTGTGGATTTGACGAATGTAACAAGCCAGGGGAAATCCCGCCCATTTATCAAAGCAGCGTTGCCTGTAGTAGTGAATGGGGTTGAACATGCATATCGATTTACTCCGAGTGATAAACTAGTACTGCTGCAGCTAGTGAAGCCGTCCATGATGTAGTAGCTCAGAAGTATCCCATCTAGAACCCTATCTAAGCTGGCTCAAGATTCAAGAATACCAAAAGCTTCGTCATTTATGTGGACCTCATTTCATAAGTACTCGTTTCATAGGCCCTCATTCCTCGTCAGGAACAACTTCCTGGAAATGTAGGCGCCTAAACAGTGTTCCACAAGGACTTGTGGAGTACAATCCAGGTACCGGCAATCACACAGGAACTGTGCTAAGATTTGCAGCACCATTCGCAGATGCAAAATAGAATAGACATCATTCGTGGGCATCTAAACTAGAGCCAAAATCTGCTGTTACCTAATGGATCTAGCATATTTACAAATGTTGTAGAGGCATCGTATATAAAGCTCACTTCCTCGTCCTGAGTCGCAATTCTTGCGATTCACAGGAACTATCTCTAGGCTTCTTTCCCCCCTCCCTAAATCAAGTCACCATGATCCAGCTTGCTTCTACCCTTACTCTCGGCCTTGCTAGTATAGCAGGTGTTGTGTCCGCTCATCCAGGGCACAATGTCGAAGCGGAAGCTGCTGAGCGTGCCAGCTTCCTGCAAAAGGCTCCAATTCAGTCACGCAGTCTCGCTCATTGTGCCACAAGCTTGAAGGCACGCGGTGTTGAGAACCTTAACGTTGCTCGCCGTGAGAATGCTGTGCTGCTGCTACGCAGAGAAAGGGGATTGGATACCGGTATGCTCGTGGATCTCTAAACGAAGATGCAGGCTTTATACCACGGAATGCATACTAATATATCTTCAGGGGCTCGCTATCTCAAAGCACGAGACCTGGACTCTGTGCTGGCGACGGATCACCACTCCAACTTGGCTCATGTTGACCCTTCCACCGACCCCAATGTCCTGTTCGGCTCGGAGGGTACATGTATTGTACAACCTGAGGTGACACAGGGACCGTATTGTACGATTAATGGAACAATTTTTGCGTTTCACTTAGCTGACTTTGGGCAGATATCGCCGGTGAACTGATCCGCAAGAATGTGGCCGAAGACCAGCAGGGCGTGCCTCTCTACATGGACATCCAACTCATCGATACCAACACCTGTGACCCTCTCCCTGACATCTACACGGATATCTGGCACTGCAATGCCACGGTGCGTCTACCAAATGCGATTCTAGCCAACCATTGACCATCGAACTTCTGTGACTGACTTCAACATGCTCCAGGGTGTTTACTCTGGCGTCGTTGCGAACGGTAACGGTAATTCGAACGATAACAGCAACCTCAACACCACGTTCCTCCGCGGTGTCCAACCGAGCGGCGACGACGGTGTTGTCCGATTTGAGTCCATCTTCCCTGGCCATTACACTGGCCGGGCTATTCACATTCACGGTATGCCCCACGGAAGATATACTAACTGCCTAAACGAATAAGATTGTTGCTAACAACTCAATTTGGCACAGTGGTTACCCACCCCGCTAACGAGACCAAGATCTTGCCCAACGGTACCATCGCTGGCATGTACGACGGTCACTCCTCGCATATTGGCCAGATCTTCTTCGATCAGGACCTCATCACTGAGGTCGAGAAAAGCACCCCATACTCGACCAACACGCAGGAGTTGACTGAGAACTCTGATGATAGCATCCTCGAGACGGAGGCTGACACCACCGACCCGTTCATGGAGTATGTTCTGCTTGGTGACGATGTCTCGGATGGTATCTTCGCTTGGATTTCAATTGGCATTGACGCCAAGAGGGATGATTCTCTCTCCCCTGAGGGTTACTGGACTGAGACTGGTGGAGAGGTCAACGATCACTTCAGTATGAACATGGCCGATATGGGTGATCTTCCGACCGGCGCTGCCAGCAGCGCTGCTCCTAGCGCATCTGCATAAGCGAACGGCGATGGTTGTCTCTTGAAGTGAATAGAATGATCCATTTGGGCAACGTGTTAGAAATTACTTACTTCATGAGACAAGAACGGATGTTATTGTAGTATAAATGGTTTGTAGAAGGACCTGAGTAATTTATCCGTAGAGGGGAGGAAGACTCAGCATCTCTTTCGTGCCTAGCAGGGTTTGTTAGTTGCTCTTTTCCAGCAGCTTGGATAACAATAATCAGAGAAATATCCTCGCATCCTTCTAAAGAAACTAAATCCTATTTCTCAAACCTACAGATCTTCGACACTCCAACAGGCCTAGGCTGTACATTCCTTACAGCATCCCCCGCCTCCTCATTCCCCCAATCCATCACCTCCCTCTCCAGACCTCCCAAATCCATGTCCTTACCCCAACAAAGCAACTTCCTCTCCTTCAGCAACTCCAGCACCCTCAACAACCATGTCCGACATGTAACCCCCATCTCATTGACCTGACCATCGTAGCTGCGTATCAGCCGGTCTGCTTCGTTCAAGACAGACTGAGAAGACGGAAAATCTGCGATGCGGATAAGGCCGACCAAGAGAAAGGATTTCAAGATGGTTGATTCCGGGGCATGCGCAGCGATCCAGCCGGTGCTTTCGTTTGTGATATGGTATTTTGTTCCTGTATCGTGATAATGAAGGTAAAGGGCCCAGTGGAAGTTGTCTGGGATTGGCGGGTCGGTTCGGATGTAGAGAGCGATATAGATGGAGTTTGGGGTAAGAGACATTGTGATTTGTTTTGCTATGCTAAATAGGTGGTGTATGGAAAACTATGAATCATTGGTGCGAGTAAATGTCGTGTGTGAGGAGGTGGATGTGGTACAAGAACAGACATTGAAAGCAGGTCCAAATAGTCCGGAGATACTTACGGTAATCAGTTACCGTACTAACTACAGCCACAAACATGGATGGATAATATCAAGATTAGACCTAACTGCCTTTACCAACAAGCACCGCTGCGCCATGGATAGATAAACCAATCCATCCTATAAATGCCACCCATAAAATAGAAAGTCTTCAAGCAAATGACAAGAAATTGAACCCACAAAGTGTGATATCATACAATAATGTAGCGATCCATCAGTTTTAAAACTTTTTTTGACATGATTTACTCGTCCTTCTTCTTCTTCTTCTTCTGTTTCTTCTCGTTGTCCTCGTTGTCGTCGGACCGCTTGCGCTTCTTCTCCTCGCCCTTGTCAGCTTTCTTGGCCTCCTTCTTAGCCTTCTTCAGATCCTTCTTGCTGACCGAGCTAGGGTTGCCTTCGGCATCGAACTGGATCTCGCCGCGCTCAAGCTTGCGCTTGTACCGCTTGAGGCTCAATCCGGCCTTCTCGGCCATCTTCTCAAGGTCAGCGTCCTTGCTCTTCTTGGACTTCTTTTTGCTCGATTCCTCTTCCGACTCATCAGACGAGTCAGCCTCTGCATCAGAGTCAGCATCGGCCATCTCGGTATCCTGGACCTCTTCAACAAGCTTCTTCTGTTTCTTGGCAGAAGAAGGCTCATCAACAGCATCGGCATCAGCGTTGTATTTCCTGGCCTCGTTGAGTTCGAACTTCTGTGCAGGTGTACCGTTGGGAGCAATGTTCACACCACGGGGCTTGAGGGGCTTGCCTTCCATGGCAGCCAACTTCCTCTCAAGGTTGAAACGGGCCTCTGTACCCAGGGCAGCCTTATCCTCCTCGGTAGCATCGTCATCCCACTCGGCAAGGGCATCCACACGAAGACCAAGAGAGGCCTTGGCGGCGAGAACTCTGGCCATCTTACCCTTGTTCTTGCCAGTAGCCTGACCGATAAGGGAGGCGTGGTAGATGAGACCATACTTAGGAGTGTCGTGCTTGGTCTTCAGGGCACGGAAAAGGGCCTTCTCGGCTCCCAGAATCTGGAGGGTACTGGCGGGGCTCTTGGAAAGGTTGGTCAAGCTACCGGCGTGGGCGATAAGACGCGCGCCGACCAATTCGCCAACAAGAGCTGTCAGGTTAGGCGCAATGGCATTCATACGGGCGGTCAAATAACCGGCAAGTTGCTGACGGTACTCCGTGAAGCCAACAACCTGCTCAGCCAAAGCCTGAATGTTCTCCAAATCCTCCTCACTGATCTCAGTACCCATAGAGCGGTCCGCGGCGGCCTTGACAGAGCCCTCGAGCTCCTCGGGCAGAATCTCAGCAAGATCAGAAGACTCCCAGTTGGTGCGCATGCCCATCTTCAGAACGAGTTTCGCGTAGGCCAGGTTGTCGTTGAGGATCTTAGCCAGCTCGGGGAAGTGCCAGCCGTACCATTCCTTCACACGCATAGCATAGTTGTTGAGCTCCTTATCCAAATCATCCAGCAGACCAATGGCTTGTACAATCATAGTATCAATCTTATCGGGAGAGAACTTGAGCTTATGTCTGGCAAGGGAGTGGGAAAGACCAAGAGACATGGTGGACATGTCCTGAGGGGCGAGGCCTGGAATTAATGTGGGGAGATGTTCACGGATAGCACGGTAGATATCAGTGGTGGTCGAGTCGGCGATAAGTTGAATATCGAGACCGGGAAGCTTGCCAATGGCATTTCCTTTACGAATTTAGTCAATAACTGAACCTGGTCTACTGCGCAGAAACTCGATCGACATACCAAGCTTCGGGTCCGCAACGGCCAAAGAGACCTTCTTTTCGTCCTTGACCTCGTCAAGAAGGCTGGCAAGACGAGGGGTAACCTTGCCCTCAACAAGGGAGGCGACTTCCTCCAGGGCTGTAGCAGCACTGTCGAACTTCTGGAAACTCTTCAATTTCACACTATACGAAAGAGTTAGATGGACCGTTCACACGGGAAAATTTTTTGCTTCAAGAGCGCGTGCGGCGAGATTGGAACAACACCGACGAGAATGCAGCGAAAGCAATGACTTACAGGTTCGAAACACCCTCTGCCGTCGCAGCCTCAGTAGCAAGGTCATCTCTCTTCAAAAGCTTCTTGTCCTTAGCCTTGAGCAGGGCATAGCCCGCGCTGGTTTCGGTGAGGATAAACAGCGTCATGATGGACGGCCTCAATTCCCAGCTGGTTCAAAAAATATTTAATTTAACAGCTCGAAAGGTTAAGAATATGGTGGATAGGCCGGAGAGTGAGGGCGACCGTGGACGAAACCACCGAAAGCGTGCTTGGGGAAGTCGGTTTCTCGCTGCTGGCGGGAATTTTTTACCTCGAGTCTAAAGTAAAAAAATGAAAAAAGCGAGAGCGATCCGAGTGGCTGAGTGGCTGGTGGGTGCGGCGGTGCGTCTTACGTAACGCGGGAAGCGACTGATGGGCATGGAGATAGATACAACAGCTGTCTTGCGGAGTGGTTTTGGAATCCCCCCGGAGCTGCATCGTCATTCCACAATGGAGGGTCTCTTCTTTAACGTTAACAGCGGGTATGTGTGGCTCAGGGTTACCTTTAGGATCTCGCGACAGCGTCGGACTAATGCTCTGTAGCTATGTTGAGGGCATTGTTCGAGGATATCGGAACAGCCTCCTCACCGGTCAGCACTACAACAACCTGACCCAATGCGAAACAATAGATGGTCCGTTCACTCACACCTATATCGCTACTTATCTACTATATACTTATCCAAGTACTGGCCGCAGATGTTAAACTTCAGCTCGCCCCCGCATATGGGGACTTCCTCGCCGCGCTTCCTCCCAACCCCTCTACCTCAGCCCTTGCTGGCAAGATGACGGATAAGCTGGTCGCTGAATTCCGCTATGTGCTCACCCAGGCCACAGGCTCGACGGCCAGATTCCTCGAATACCTGACTTACGGCTATATGATCGATAATATTGCTCTTCTCATTACCGGTACATTACATGAACGTGATACCCGTGAGCTTTTGGAGCGATGCCACCCCTTGGGCTGGTTTGAGACTTTGCCCGTACTGTGTGTGGCCACGAACATTGAGGAACTTTATAACTCTGTCTTGATTGAAACACCATTGGCCGGCTACTTCAAGGGCAGCCTCAGCCATCAGGATCTAGACGAATTGAACATCGAGATCGTGCGCAACACCCTCTACAAGAACTATCTCGAGGACTTTTACCAGTTCGTGAACACGCACCCAGATTTCAAGGGCACTCCTACACAAGAGGTCATGTCTGAACTTCTAGAGTTCGAGGCAGACCGCCGTGCGATCAACATCACACTGAACTCGTTCGGCACAGAGCTTTCGAAGCAGGAACGGAGAAAGCTGTATCCGGAGTTCGGTAAACTCTACCCTGAAGGCTCATTGATGCTTTCACGGGCCGACGACCTGGAGTCCGTGTCACTTGCTGTCAGCATATCGGCTGACTACAAGGCCTTCTTTGATGCCGTGGGCCTTACTCAGGGTGCAGGTTTCGGTGGTGGTTCGGATGGAAAGAGTCTCGAGGACATGTTCTACCAAAAGGAAATGGAAATGTCAAAGGTCGTCTTCACCCGGCAGTTTACCCCGGCGGTAGTGTACGCATGGATGAGGTTGAAGGAGCAGGTCAGTTTGAAACTGTTCTAGTACAAGAGGCACTAAAACTAACCAAGCATTGCACAGGAAATCCGAAACGTCACATGGATCGCGGAGTGCATTGCGCAGCACCAGAAAGAGCGGATTGGCAACTTCATCTCTGTCTTCTAAGCGTTCCTTCTCTGCACTACCTAATATTCGATTCATGCGATTCGTTCACATGCACAAAACTTCCTTATTACCCCGAACTATGCGATTCTATGTATCTTTTCCCTCTTCCATTACCCATATCCTTATCTTGTGACTAGCTTTCAGTTATTCACTTATGTGTTGGGCGCATCAAATTGCCCGACATCCATTACCAGTTTCTGATCTCTTCTACTTGCCTAGGGCGTTGGGGAATCTCATTTTGTGCGGTATAGTATAGATGAACTGATCATTGGCTTATACCTTGAATGTAAACTTTTATTTGCTGAATGTAGTAATTGCGTTTATGAGGTAAGTGATACAACTACCGAGTATATTTGAATCTCCAATCGTCGCAACTTTTACATTCAATTAATTTAGACCGTGTGGTCCACTACTGAGAGTCTAAGTTAGCCATGCTTTGTATGAAAGTTAGTACAAATGTATCCGTGCAGATACATGTCCAGGGCCAAAGCTCCTTATAATACACGGTTTTGTGTTATGCCAAAACTGCAATTGTAGAGCAAGAGAGATGCAGTGAAATGCCCACGCAGTAGCCTGAATAATCGCAACAATCGCAAGGAGTGGCAAATGGAAAGGTGTGGGGACAAGGATTGCAACAGAGTCCGGTCGATTGGCCTAGAAGCCTATCTACTGGTTTCATAAATCGGTCGACACATTCAACGCAGTTACGTGATATGCGATGATGGGATTGTATAGTCATAAAAAAAAAATCCAATATAGCAATGAGGGCGTCAGTGTGCTGGGGGATGTCCAACAAAATCAAACATTTCAGCATATGAGTTACTTTCATCACTCCTTTTCTTGGTTTTCTTGGTTTTCAGGATTCATGCTAAAGCTCCTTCGGACAGGAAGGATAAAATAAAAAACACGTCAAAAGTTGGATAGATTCGTTAGTCGTACTGGAAAAGGACACTGATACTCTCGCCATGGTGGACACGACGAATAGCCTACGACGTATTAGCAACAAAACTCCGTTAAGTATTAGGGCCAACCTACCTCGGCAAAGACATGGCCAACTTCCAGAACCTCCAGCTTAGGGCACTGGCGCAGGTGCTCTGTCTGATCAACGCTGTTCGTGACTAGCACCTTGTCAAGGGCACTGGCGTTGATTCGATCAATAGCATCCCCACTTAGGATACCGTGAGTCACCAAAGCGTAAACTTGAGCGGCACCTTCCTTCTTCAAGAGCTTCGCAGCTCTAGTAATGGTGTTGGAAGTATCCGCCAGGTCATCAATCAGGATAGCGGTACGGCCTTTCACATCACCAACCAACATCATAGTGGCATTTTGACGATCCGTGATGCGTGTGGGGCGCCGTTCCTATAAACTATTAGGAAACACAAAAGTATGTTGAACTAGCAAGCAGAACAAACCTTGTGAATCAATGCGAACTCTATACCCATGGAATCCGCAATTGCCGTAGCACGCTTAGCACCTCCAGCGTCGGGGCTGACAATAACAGCCTGCTTGTAATTGGGGATGTTCCGCTGAATGTAACTCTTGAGCAGGGGTCTGCCATACAAGTTATCTACGGGAATATCGAAGAATCCCTGATACTGAGGATCGTGCAGGTCCATCGTGATGATATGGTCGGCACCAGCACAGGCAAGCAAGTCAGCTACCAATGTGCCTGCCTGAGCCACCCACTGCTTGTAACCTGGGCGTGGTTGGAAATTGTTGATTTTTTGCACGCTACCCTCACCGAAAGCGCCATTGGAAACAGCGGCCTTGCTGCTCTCCGGTTGCGATTCCAGAGTTTCACTGCGAGAGAGTCCACTAGTTGGGCGCTTCTTCACAGGACTTCCATTGCTGATATCCTCTATTTGAGCCTTTGCTAGGCTCTTCTGTAGGTTATCGACACCGTTCAGAAGACTTCCACTCTCAGGCTTCCCAGGATATGGGGTTGTAGGGGTGCTCTCGAAAGTATAACCATTTGCGGGCTCTGACTTTCCAGGAACCGCTGACTTTACAAGAGGGGCGCCAGTCTTATTGTAAGGAATATCACTCTGGCGAGAGTACGGGAAAAGAGGGAGAACAGCGGTGACCCTCTTGGCGGAGGCGGTCTTGCATGCAGAGATGGTAATGAGTAGCTCCAGTAGGTGGTCGTTCACTTTCCCACCACCAGATTGAATGATGTAAACATCTTTCCCACGAACAGACTCCTTGATTTCAACTCTGGTTTCGCCCACAGAGAACTTCGAAAGTAGAACGTCTGCTGGCGGGATACCCAAGACGCCGCAGATGTTCTGAGTCAGTTGAGGGTGGGAAGTGCCTCCAATTACAACGATATTGCGGACCATGGTGGCAGGACCTTCAGGTTGATAAGGGTTTGAAAAAGCGGTAGGATAGATAAGCAATGGAGAGGATGTCTGCGTCGAGAGTGGAGAGAAACCAGGGATATCCGATGAGGGAGGTCTGGAGGGGCGATTATTGATCGGTAAGATTAGCACAAAGTTGGAAGAAGCTTTGATCAATGAATGGACAAGATTGTGGCGAATATGGACAGACAACTACCTCATGGCGGGGATTCAAGAACGGTGTCCGATTGATGGAGTGGAGAGAACATTGAATAAAGGACTGAGGTAGAAGGTCGTGTGAGTCCCGCGATAGAAAAAAAATGCCTCTTCCGCCGGTGGAACCAAACGTCCTCCAAGCCTCGGATTTCTGCCGTAATAGCCCCAGGCTGCTACATGCCGCCTGCCGCATCCGGCTAGCTGCACACAAATGAAACAAAAACGACTGGGAAACGGCGATGCGCCCCGCAAAGGCCGGGTGAGAGGTAAATGACGGAAGATGTGGGAGGTGAAAAAAAAAAAAAAGCTCCGACTCCGGATTTCAGAGATACCCGTAGTTCCAAGATAACAACAACAGCGATTTGTGAGCCACTTCCCTCGCAAAACAAGCAAAGAACAGTAGGCGCCCCTACTGTTGCATTACAAGAAGAGCAATGTCTCCATTGGGCCAATAGGTACACGGAAACTTTGAAAGATAAGGTGCCGGAGAACATCAGCGGACTCGTAGGAGGCAAAATCCAAAGAAAGGGAAAAAAGCAGTTTTTCATGGCAAATTCCCCATTATTCCACAACCTTTCCCCAATATTCTGTTGCGATAGTAGGTAAAGCACAATAGAGAAGAAACCCAGGTCATATAAAGGTACAGTAATACAATTTGAATCGCCTGCGAGGGATATTCTACAAAGAAGGAGTAGAGTCAGCATTCACGCTCAAGGACATACCAGTCGCATCAGGACAGACGTCACAAACCGTAGGGGAGTAGTCGAAATGGAATTTTCTCACAGGTACCTAAAGTGTATAGTCTACACAAGTATTTATTCACCAGTGCCGACCTCCCTGTAGAACGGTCAGCATGGAACCCTTCTAAACAAAAGGCTCCAAAACGCAACAAATAGTAGGCGACAAGGGAGGACTTTGCAAAGGACCACTTACAGATCAAGCTGGCTTCCTGAAGAAATACTGTAGTCGGCTAGGGTGAGGAAATCTTTGAAGGGACGTTCCCCTTGGCGCTTGAGAAGGATTTCATGTGGTTCACGTCCAATACGTGCAGCAACCTGTGCCTTGAAGAGCTCTGTGACATAGATTAGACGCCAAACTGCAGTCCTCGATCATGAAAGGGTAACGAACTGATTGGGTCCGATGCAAGACACGGAATTGAAGCTTTCGAGCCGAGACGATCGTTCACGTGCACAATAATCATGGGTTCTGAGGGCTGAGGAACAGCAGGCTTCTTATCTTTCTTTTCTTTCTTCTTCCTTTCCCGTCCACATCTCTCATCACCTTCCGGACGCCTTCGGTCACGATCGCTATCCTTGTTCCTATCGTCAGGCCTGTATGTATCTCTGTCGCGTCGCGGAGACCTTGCCCGTTCTTCCCTATCTCTGTATCCTCGATTTAATCTGCGTTCATCTGTATCGTGTCTGCTGTCGCCATCGCGCCGTTTGTCCTTCCATCGAAAACCTCCTCCTCCTCCTCCTCCTCCTCCTCCTCCTCCACTTTTTCTAGGCCTCTCTCTATCAGACCTTTCCATGTCAAGCCTTCTCCCTGGCGACCTGCTCCTTGAACGCTCGCCCATGATGAGTGGTGTAGGTTAATGTAGTTTAGCGATCAGCCTGACGCTCACAGCAATGGAATATGACTGGCGACACGTGATGATGTATTGCGGCCCGGCCTTCTGGTCGCAAGATGCCTACGCTAAACCGTAAGTGGAGTAGCACCATAAATGAGTGCTAAGCACTGACCTCCGTGCTTAACCCCGTGCTTATTGCGATTGAACTTATATCAGTAGTTTCAAATTTGGCTCAAAGCGTCGCAGATTTCTGAATCAGTGATAAATGCCTGGTCGCCTGATATTACGACGTCCATCTCCGACGACCGTCTCATTCACCGTATCCAATGCCTCCAGACACACGAGTACGCCAGCGAAGATTCTCTTCTATCTTCAAATCCTTTTGCGCGCATTAGTCTTCTTCTACGTGGTTTTCTTCAATATTGCAAGACTCCGCAACTCTTTCTTTACGCAAGATGGGTCTTTAGTGCGCTGGAGTGCAATATGGTCGAGTCCATTAGGGTCACTTGTATCCCGAATTGTAGATTCATACAGTTCTTGGGTCGTCGTTCTGGTGAGCGCGATTGTTATCTATGGTGTCTTTAGGAAGGGTTATACGGGTATGCCCGAGTGCCCCTATTGCGGTAAATGATTTCAACTAACTTCTGGTGCTATACAGAGGAATCGTTGCTTGTCATACGTGGTTTGGGAATTCAAACTTCTACTTCGTCCCTGACCTATCTCTCCAAGGCCTCGACGCGATTCATTCCCACCACTCAGATCCAGGACATTGTGATTCACGAGGCTTTCAAAGGTTTTGAAGTCCGCTTTTACCTAGCAATTATTGTAGATGGGGAGCCCGAAGTTGTCGTAGTGTTCCCTGTAAGTATTCATATCCAGACAACTTGATTGGCCCCTAACCATATTATGCCCAGAAACTTTTGCCGAGCCGGGCAATACTAGAAGAGGTTTGGAGGGGCTCGCGGCACTGTCTCTATGATTCGAAATCTTAACATAAAGGAGTTTGGAAGAAATTATTTTGCCTTTGAAAAGAGGCATTCTCATGTCTAATTGAAGTACACCTAATGGCGAACTATTCTATAAAGGTATGGCATACGTCCGAATGTCCTTTCTACATCTCCATGCGACTGGGCTCTGCACCCTTTTCAGTCTTCCGCTGTTTGGCTGCAAGCCATCTCGCGTTTTGAACCTCCACCGGGTCCATCTTTCTCTTCTGCATGACCGGTATATATTGTCCTCCAATTCTTGGCTCATTCGCACCATAGAAGACTTTCTGGCTCCGCTTTTGTTGCTCATCATTGACGCCCTTGGTTTCACCATTGACAACCCCTTGGTCCCCTTGGCTGACGGCAAGATCCAGTAATGTACCAGCCAAGATTTCATCAATCTTACGTTGTCTCCAAACGGACCAAAGACCGTCTACTACTCCTCCGAGACCATACTTGCCATCTCCTCTGCCCCCTTGGGATTTTATCTGTCTGCTATCCCCAGCGTAAACCCAATCTAATGCATCTGCACGGCTGCCGCTATTCTCATCAGGGAAGACACAGTTCCAAAGGACAAGGGGGGCGTCGGAAGCCATCTCATAGGTCGGCTTACGCGGGTTCTTGGTTATGTCTAACAGGTCCTGCACAATAGTCGGTGGCTCAAGTCCCTGGCCCACTAGGAACAAAATACCCACCATGTGCCGCACCTGATGCCATAGAAAAGCGGATCCTCTCAAGTTAAATACATATACTTGAGAAGGGGTTTGCGAAGGAGTCTCTGGCGACGCGGGGTTTTGCTGCGCAGCAGGGTCTTCTAGAGCTTGGAATCCCGGTTGACTGACATAGCCTAGTGGGCTGCTTCGCGGATCAAGGAGCTCAATGTCAGAATGGTAGATGATTCTCTCGAAATTCTCGATTTGTTTGCTGGTGTCCAGTTTGCAGAAGTTACGGAAGTCATGTGCTCCCTCAAAGTACTTAGCGGCTTCACGCATAGCCTCGATGTCTAACCAACCCTCTCTGCATTTTGCACGGCTGTCTCCTGCCTTGTTGTTTCCACGCGAGGTGAATCCAAGAGGTCCTGGCGTTGGGGAGAAGGCGGGTTGGGTAAAGAAATACTTGTAATGGCGTTCCCGGCAAGAGAAACGAGCGTCGAAGCCTTCGGGGGGGTGTGGACACCATGCCAGGACCCGGATATCCTCTGGAAGCACCCTGTTCAGAATACTTACGTATGGTAATTCATCAGCAATATCATCCCAGTTGTCTTGAGCGGCATCAGCTAAAGCAGTAGCTTCTTCTCCGGTTTGCATAGTAGTATCCGAGCTAGGGTCCGCCTGCGCAACATTATCGCGCTTTGGTCGCGCACTTCGTACCATCAGACCGATAACTTGTCCAAAGGCACTGACACCCCTATCAGTCCGGCCAGCCTTAGAGTACTGGCATCCTTCCCAATTGATCAAATAAGGCTTCAATTCCCTTGGGCCCCTTGTATCTTCAAAATAATCCGCCTCTCCACTCTGCGGGAAAATCAGACGAGTCTTCCGCAAAGCCTTCCACATTTCTTCTTCAATCGTTGGGAGTGGCGTGACATTGCCATTAGCATGTTCAAGGCCGTTGTACCGTTGCCCCAGATATGCGAACTTCAGAGCTATGAACCGGGTATTGTATTTGGAAGGATCAATCACTCGGGGCTGCTTCGGGGGGCGATTCGGCGCGCGAGTATGTGTGATATCGTCCTCTGGAGCAGGCTGGTACTTGCGCGCTCCCTTCTTCGAGGAACCCTTCGCTGTTTCGGCGGGCGTATCAAGCGCTGGGTTCGAAGGTAAAGATTCGTTTGCGACTTTCGATGAGGTCGCAAATTCCGCATTGCGTGATTGCAGCTGGCGCTCTAGCTCTGTAATTCTGGAAATCAGACTCTCCGGGGTCCAGGTCGAGTAGTCGGTTTGACCTTGAGGTGGAAGTGGCTCCCCGGTGCCGGACATGGTTTCAGTTGCGAGGGACTCAACCTGCGCGTGGCGATGCTTGAAAATCTGAAAGTTTCGTTTTGTCAAGAGACGTTGTACAATGCGACTCGGATAGGAACAGAGTCTGCTTTGAGCTCTCCACATTCCCCTGGAGCTGGCGAAGATGGTTCTGTTGTACCCGCTAAACTTTGGGAGCAGTTGGCGGGGACAGATGGGATTTTTTTTAAAGTCATTTTTGTTAAGTAATCTAATATCCGTGTATGGTAATATTACGGAGATCTGCTAGATCTACCTCAGATAAGGAAATATTAAGTGGCTTCTGAGATTAGATGCATGAGCTTGAAGGTCCTTATCATAACATTGTTTTAATAAATCGAGTATGTAACGATCTAAGAGAAATGACTTTATTAATACCGCTTCATATTGTAATGGTGGTATACCAAGTGGATATGACATCTACTTTTTATATTTCTCCGCTCCATTTATCTTCACAGCACCCAGCCTCAACTATTCAAACACACGATAACTTCAGCCAAGTTTAGGGAAAAAGCTCTGCTAGCCGATCACTGTCCTATCTTGATCTCATACTCCAACAGACTTTCGAATCTACTGCAACGCAGCACCTCTTGAATTCGACCTAATGACGAACCAAGAAAGTCATTCGGACCAGGAGAACACAGTCACCATCCTCCTACTAGGAGACCCAGGATGCGGTAAAACGACATTCTTATCGTAAGTCTATACCGAAACGCTATTGGGACTTTTATCGGATCTTCCCAAGACGTTCCTTACTGCCGGAATCTTCCTATGCTTGCATTTTATCTTCCAGCGGAATACTGATCTATCGACCCCAGAGCATTGAAACAAGGGCGCAGTAGGCTAAATGGAAATGGATCGCATAACCAGCCCGAGCCCTTACGGGACAGTGACCAACCTTTCCTTTATGATATCCGCTTCTCAAAGAAGTCCTTTAGCCTCGAGTTATATGATACGGCATGTCCTAATCAGCACTGGTCTACATTGAAGCCGGACGTGGTTCTTCTTGCTTTTGATATATCCAACAGAGATACTTTGACCAATCTAAGAACAGTGAGTTCGCATCTTTATCGATTCTTCTCTGGAAGTCAATCACAAGTTACTGATCTTCTTAGTGGCGACACGACATTATCCGGTACTTCCAACATGGTCAGGGGGAACGAATCCCTGTCATGATGGTAGGCCTGAAAAGAGACATGAGGGTAGAAGGCGAAGGTATCATCTACCCGCAAGAAGTAAGTACCTCGTTCCTGCAGTGCCTCAACCTGGAAATGCTCCTTATGAACCATGTTGTCTTACCTTGTTTTATATCCCAAAGCTGACTCCAGCAGACATATCGAATCGCACAAGAGCTCCGGTGTGACCGTTATGCAGAATGTTCTGCTATCACGGGAGAACTTCTGGCAGAGACATTCGAGGATCTAGCGAGGCTGGCAGGCATGACAACCACGGATCGTGGGGGACAGACTCAGGGTGGCTGTATAGTCATTTGACGGGGGAGCGGATATGTCGACTGTTGTGATACCCTTTTTACGATGAGAAATATCTATTATGTAGTTGATCTAACAAAAACAAGATGTTGATTTACTTTGTTCGGCAGACATGGAGAAGTATAAGGGAATTTATATGCTATGCCGTGTGTATCCATGATTGCTAATACGAGACTACGTACTGATCTACGTTCACTGCCTAATCCGGGGTTACTCGGAATACTGCTGACACACGATAGAACATGCATATGGTAGCTAGTATCACGTTTCATTTACGACTAAAATCAACATGCAGGGAGAAACCAAGGTAACGACTAAGTCCACCTTGTGGAAATTGACAGCACAGGGCTTTCCCCCAGAAGCTCACCGAGATAATAGAACAACTGGATATCTTTCCCTCGTAAGCGCCAGTCAATTTTTGGCAATGCTATCCCTCCCCGATGCACCGTGAACAAGACGTGATAACGGACTGTAAGAAACGAGACTTCGCTGTAGCATACCAAGGGAAGTAGAAAAAGACGGTTTCAAGTTGT